CACCACAATCAAAGCGTAGGATCCACACGAATCTGCATCTCAGCTTTGGCGGGAAGCTTTTCACTCATGCAAATTCGAAATTTTGGCTTTGAGAAAGGCCTGTTTTCGTCGTTTTCGCGGTCTCAGAGATGGGTTCTCGGCCAGCATAGCTGTTAGGCCCAGGCCCAGGCAAATGAAAACTGGATGTTGAGTTCTTGCCCGGGCACTGCCTATTCACATCGGGGGTACCTTTCACGTCGGCGTAGAGGAAATTCGCCATTTTGGGCCTCCTCCGCGAACAAATGTCCCTTTGCGATTCTGAATGTCGTTTAAGGACATTATCACCTTATTTTGCAGCCCATCCCCTCTACATACACGTCTGCTCTTCTGCTTATCAAAGATTAAAGGTATAGGTAAGATTAAGTTAAGGTTACAGCTAAGATACCGTCCACCCTAAGTTGAAGGTGTTGAGCTTTTAGCAGCTTATAACAGTAGGACCACCTATCACGCCAATGCCCAAGTCGCGGTGTAATATGCCGCTTCGGAAGCGAGAAAATCGCTTCCGAATAGCGAAGATGCACGAGGACCTCCATCCATGCCCGCCCCTCCCCTCCCCAACCATGTCCGCTCATTTGTGCGCGCACATCCAATCACCGCTCTTGAAAGCCGGCCTGTAGGTTCTCCGGAATGGGATTGTCGGGATTTTTTCGCGGATTCTCGACTTCATGTTTGGAATCAGGGACATGAGAAGGCCCTGAAACGACAAAAACCCCGAAGTCGAAAATCTGGGTGGACGGTGCCTTTAACTGTGAAATTTCTAGCTATCTTGTCTTCTTCTCATTGTTCTCCTGTCGGTGTTCCGTTCTCAATGTATCGGTGGTTCCTAGGCCTTACTGTGGCATGAGGCGAATTAGCGCCTTTTGATGTGTGCTATACAGAACACATTAGCTATAGTAGCTTAATTGAGTCAGAGAGCACATGGTTAGTGCAGTGGTAGAATGCTGACGATTAAAGGCGTGGCAAAGTAGCATAACAAACATCTGGGCAATAATACCCTCATATCACAGCAGGTCATGCTTATGGCATGACCTTTACAGTGTTTAGGAGAAGTATGATATAAGTTGCAAAGAAGGTGCCGACAAAGTCGGCATACCCAAGATGTAAATCTGTGGATCACGAATGAGCAATATTGTGTGAGGATCCGAATGCTGACGTGTTGTTACAGTTCTAAATAAGCCTCGCAGCCGCCTCGTTCGCGCCTTAGCGTTCATGTACAATCTGTCCCAATCCCAATCAGGCTAAACGGGAGTCCGTGCCGTGTTATGCGTTTTACGGCTGCTTGTCTGCTCTCTCCTCATTCTTTTGCTCTTCCGACAGTGTGTTTCGCATGGATTCGTGGCGCAACGCGTGGATCCTCTCGCGAAACTGATGGGTTGCGCCATGAATCCATGCGAAATACAACCCTGGGGTTCAGTTTCGAGGGGAATATCTCAGCCGTTAGGGCACTACGTGCGCTGCCTCTTGGGCAGTGCTTTAGTTAGGGCCCCAAAATCACTTTCTACATAAAATCCATAGGTCCAGATTTGCCTGGAAACTGCCTTTAAGACAGTCACACAAACCTCTGCTGCGTTTGCGGTATGGGGCCCTTCGGTTACGAAAGAAGTGAGGCTAATGGCAGGACTCTATGATAGGTAATACAGCGGGACAAAGTAACATGAGAGATACCCCTTCCCCGACTCCGTTTACTAAATAAAATATTCTATCAAACTTTGTCAAACTTTTTAGGTTTGTCGCGAACCCTAGCGCAGCCCTGCTAAATCACCTTTTCCCAGGCTCCCTGGGGTGAAGACCTGCCGTCCAGAAGAACCAAGTGGCCTAAAAGATTGCTTGCGATGATGATCATGAAAGTGGGATAAGCAATAAATATACTTTAGACAATTTCGGTGATAGAATCATGACAACCGCATGTTGCGCTACATGCTGGAATTACAGAACCGCAAAAGGTAACGAAATAGAAACAGTGTTATAGGCAATGTCAATTATCTACGTACTCCTTCGCATGAGAACTACGCATGCGCAACGCAGGGGCCCCCTGCGTGCGAAGTGGCCCATTTGAATGCCCGAGTCATACGCGCGCGAACATGGCGCGAAGCTCATTGCGTTTACGGAAAAGGAAGCACGTGATTGACACGGAGTGTATCTGTTTATGAACAAATTGGCCCCGATCCTCAGCATTCCTTGAATTAGTGCGCAGTGTGCAACTTCACAAAAACATGACCTTTCTCAGCGGCAATACGTTTGCGAATTCCAAAGAAACTCGCATAAGTACATTGCGGTGACGGTCATCAGTATGTGCGATGAGGACAAGGGACCGCGCACACGTGATGTTCCTGTACGAATTTAGTACTTTTTCTTAGCGGAAATGCGTGAGCTGGCTTATTAGCTTCGCCAATGTTTAGTGCACAAATACTAGCAGTTTAATGGATTTTGCAATGAGCAGGATTGAGAGGGAAGTGGTTCTGCTACGTTTTAACGTTGGCGAAAAATGATAGGCTATGCAATGGATAGGCCAGCTGGCTTGACTACATTTGGCATGTTTATGCCCATTATGCTGCGATGTGCAAAACGACAGTATTCATTTTGAACGTAGGGGACAGATGCAGCTGCTGTGCTAAGACCTGCAAACTGCTGACCAATCAAGGTTGATCCGGACAATAGTGCGCAGTGCCTCAGAAGAAGAACAAAGAGCGAGAATCGATCGAGTTCGAGGTTTCAATGAGATTTTGCACTCAGCGGCCGTCATCATCTAGCAAATGCAGCAGCAGCAGCAGGCTGATGGCCTCGACGGCGGCGGCGGCAGCGGCAGGCGCCGGTCGTTAGGGCGGTGCCTGCATTTTAGTGTGCGCTGGTCGGACGGTGATTGTGCGGCCAAACAGCCGGCTGGCATCCAGTTCAACCTCCGTCGCTGCGAGGCCACTCTCTACCCTCCAACTTGGAGAGTTTGTGTTGTTCTTTGGTTGCAACATTTTCTCGAAATAACCTTGAATTGAAACTTGGATCGATGAGGTGCTGGTCGTTTTGCGATCGATGGTTCACACGTATGTTTTCAACAAGGTTGAATCTTCAGTTTTCCAGCTTTAGTATGGTTTGAATTCTTCTTTTTTTTACATTTTGTCATTGAAATTGTGCACATTGTTCTCCCAATACGCTTTAAGTTCATTGTTGCTTTTTCATATGTGCTAGTGTGTGAATCTCAAAAATCAAGGTCATTTTTCCACACAACGCCTTGACATTTCGCAATATGAGCACATGTGGTTTGATGACAATGTCATTCGGTGTGTAGTGTTCGTGTTTGACACCTTAGTCATTCCATTTTAGGCTGTGGGAAGCCTTTCTAGGTTGCCAAATTATTTTGATTCTTGATTTTTGTTTCCTTCTGTAAATTTTCACATTCATTCTCCACTGTACACTAGCGTACTGAATACAATGTTGATTTTAACCCAAACATTATCACAAATTGGGAGACACATGACCGTTTGTCATTGATATATTTAAAGCTTTTTTTGTTTTCTTCACTTTTCGTTCTTGTTTTTTATTTGGGAGCTTTGTTTCTCTTTTTTACATGGTTGCACTTGAGTTCTACTTTCATTTCTCTCTATTTAGCTCTTTCGCGGACATCACATTTTTTTCGCAAACAAGAACTCATGTTTGCATAACTTTGGCCAAGTTTTTGGCGGGCCTTCTTCAATTCTTTGCAACCACTTGCGCTCAAACTTGAGAACTGCTAAAGTATGCGAAGTATTCAAACTGCTATTGTTCTTGCGACTTTGTTTTCTTTTTGTTTCGCTGCTAACGCGAAGTATTCATCCATCATAGTTCTTGTAAAGATGCAGCATTTGAAGATCTGATAAATTGCGTAACTTTACACCAAGCACAAAGTGCAATATTTCGTAATTTGCTTTCAGTATAAAAGCTGCAAAGCACTCATGGGTTTGTTTACCATGTGATTTTCGGAATTCAGCCCATTATGCGCAAAAAAATAGTCCTTACTCATCTTCTCTACTTTCTTTACTTTTTTACTTCCTGGTTGCATACTGCGAATTGTATTTCGCCGACTAAGATGCACTGATACGATCGAAGACTAGTCATCATTGATGTCGTTGGAGAGAGAAAATTCTCGTATTGGGTCAGCAAACAGTTTCATTCTTTGATCGGTTTTGTAAAATGTTCTCATTACAAAACCTGAGCATAGCGTTATTTCATAGTACGTAATACGTGAATCGAGTCTTCAAATACTTTCTGAATCTCTAACATTGTTTGACAGCATCATCTTTTTTTGCAAATCCCATTACATTCCAGACAAATTATTTGATCGCTTTCATAGTTAAACATCACATGTTTGAAAAATTCAAAAATCAGGCTAGAGTAGAAGAGAAGGAAGAACTACCTAGAACTAAGAAACTAGATTTTGAGTTTGGCGACCGGAATTTGAGAAATTTGAATCGATAATTACCTGTCAGTTCATGTTTGCAACACTGGCCTGACTTGTTCGACATGAATATTCGCGTTCATTGGTTGTCTGGACACGTCAGAACTTGCTTTTTTCCATGTTGCACAGCGTAATCCAACTCGTCCATCTTTTTATCATTGAACAGTGTGCGTGCCGCGTTTGATTTCGTTTTTTGATTTTACTTTTTTCTGCCGTTGCACCCGGAATCATGTTAGACGCCAAACATTGTGTTGGTTGTGACGGTGGTTATCGCTCCCATCTCTTACAAAATTTTCCGCCGTTTTGATGTTTATTCTACATTTCCACTCTAAATCAATTTCTCGAAGCTGTCTTCTGTGCATTGCTGGTGTTTGAATGTTTTAATGATTTTGACACCGGGAAGTTAGTGGCTAAAAATTGTTTCTTGACTGAGTTTTTTCCTTCACATTTCTTTAATCACAATGTCAAACGCCTTTGCCTGTCGTATTTTGTTTACCAAATTCGCTCGCTCTCATAAAACCTTGTTTGTCATATTCTCAAATTTGTTTTTGTATAACTTCATTGTAAATTTCTGCTTCAGTGGCGATTTTCAGCTTGATCTTCACATTTTGAATAACTTAGCGACTAAATGGATGATCTGCTATCAGTTGCTTTGAGCGAAGCAGGTCTAGAAGAATTTCTTACACCTGCGCCGTCGTCGTCCAATTCAGTTGCACCATCCGAAGCAGAGTAAGTTCTGGATTTTGAGTTTTGAAGTTTTTGGCCACTCTCTTTATTTCTTGATCTCGTTTTCATTTCGTAGAATTACTTGTGTTACCTTTTTCTGTTAGACTTATATTTTCCTACTCGTTTGTTTTACTATATGCATGACCAATCTTATGATTCAAGTAGCAGTGCAATACTAAAGCCGGAACAGTTCTGTGAACGAAGAGCTCTTTTAAGCACTCCGTCCAGCAGCGGGATCTCTCCTGCCCCATCAATATCATCACCTCGAACAAATGCTGAGGTCGCATCTACACCTCAATCCGTTACTTTCCGTGAAGAGCAAGGTGAAGAGGCTCCGCAGCTGGAGTCGTTTCCCGATCATCCTCCAGATGATCCAAGTATGAGTGATCATGGTAAATTTCTTTTCTTTGCCGATGTAACCGCTTCAATTGGGAATCTTCATCCTTTTGCAGTTGCGACATCGTCACCGTCTACGTCGACTGTGCGTGAAGCTGTGGCGTGTCCACCCGGAGTTGGTGTTGTGAGAAAGTTGTCCGCACCTTGTAACATAGTCTATAGGCAAGCTGGTACACCATCTAAACCGGGAACACCGATTCGAACAACGAAGCAAGTCAGGTAAATATCGAGCTAATGCATGTTTTTACCGAGGGAAATGTATTTGCTTTATTTTAGGATCTCGTATCCGGCCGAGTCCGGTACAGCACAGCTGTTCAAGCAAACTGTACATACGCCCGATGGACCGCGAACGCAAGTTTTGCGGCCATTCATCAATGTAAGTAAACTTATTTTTTGCAAATCTGTCATACTTTGATTATGTTTTTTGTACGAATATTTTGCATTCTTCTGTTTGTTTACTTCTTTGATCCGTAAGAATGATGGCCTTAGCAAGGATAATGGAACTTCTTCTCGTTTTCAATTCTGTTTTATACAGTCTATGCTAAACAAAGGTCCACCGAAAATTTAGTATAAAAAAGACAAGGGCATTTGGCAAAGAACTTTCGGGTGTGCTATTGTCTCCTTGCTTTCGCAAAGTAAAGTTTTTGCGTAGTATTTGAAATGTTCCATAAATGGGTCATAAAACCAGCTTCTTATAATATTCAGCACATTTGCTATTTTAGGAACGTGGACAAACTGTATATAGAGCTGTACGAACGATTCCCGCATCCGCCGTCAGGGGTGTGGGAGTTCGTAGGATTGTTCGAAACGTAGCCGATAATGTAGGTACCACTACATATCAGCAATCTTCGCCAGACTCTACAAAAGAACCGCAGAGGATTGTAGTGTATCGACAGAGTACGCCTGGAGGTTAGTTTGCACTTGTATTCAAATTTTTACATTATTTATTGAGTTTTTGATTGCCTCATTTCTGCTATTTTAGGTGGGACCGTTCTTGTGCGAAAAACATTTCCCGCGGGTACATCTGTGCCAAGAACCGTGAATGTTAGCAATGGTGGTGTAGTAAGACGATTTGTCACGCGGGAGGCAGTCGCTCGCCCATTAGGAACCTCAGATGCTTAGTAAGTGGTCATGTTCTTGGTTAAAATGCATGCTTTGGTTGAATTTTCTTCTTCATTCTGTTTTTTTTTGTTTGATTTTTATGTTTTTTTTTCAGTTCACGGGGAGCAACGCGCGGTAATGTTCAATACAGAACCGCTGGCCAGTATGTCGCTGTGTCTCCTGCATCGACATCACAATCTCCCCAAATTATTAGAGGAGGAACTGTCGTCAGACGTGCAGTAACAACGAACGGAGCAGTTCCAGGCACGAGAGTGACAAGTAACACTTTGTCATTATAATCATTTCTGTTTTCTTTCCGAAATTTATCACTGCATGTTTATCAGTTTTTCTCAAATATAAAACTCAGGATATGCTGCTGTTCCTGTGAGGTCGAGGTTGGGCTATTCTTCATCTTCTCCTGATCTTTCGACATGGTCATCTTACTCACCTTCGAATGCATCTAGTATGGGTGACATTGAATCTGACCCTGCCGCCATCGTAAGTGTCCTTTTGCATCTAGGAAGTGTTCTTTCCAAGCGAGCACATGTTCGCATTTATTCCATGATATCAGTTTCCAAGATAATCTATTTGTTTTGGGGTTAAAAAGTGTTTATCTTATTGCTTCGACCCATTTTCTTCTCTCACTTATGTCAACGGAACTGATCTTTTCAAAGATTATGTATGTTGCTACTACCATAAATAATAAAATTTATGTGATTCCAGGCAAACGGAGAAATGTCGGATGTGGTCTTTGAGCATCATGGTACGTCCACTCAGAATATACCTGGTTACAGACAACAGGTGCGCTTCAGCTTTGTTCTGTCATGTTTGAATGTGCTGCTTTCTTTTCCCAATCACTCTTCAAACTCTATTCTGTCATTGGTATTGTCTGCTTTCGTTTTTTTATCTACCTTTCTTGTAGTCATCTTTTCAACGTTTACTCGGTCAGGTTGCAACTTTTCAGTACTATACCGCCCAACGCAGACCGCCTTTGCGACCAGGTGAAAATGTTCGCCGGCCGCATCCTGCTGCTGTGAATTCGGCTTCTGCCACACTTCTTCAGCACAGAACAATAGGGCAAACAGCACGAAGATTGCCTGCAGCTGGAGCCGAAGTTGCAGCTTCTGTTGGTGCTTTTGAGCATTTGGACGTCAAGAGAATGTTATCTGCCAACCCAGCTGCTGTTCCTGCTAGTAATGTATGTGCATCATCTCTTCTGTAAATAATAAAAAAAAATGATTGTGCAGGTTTCATTGCCAGCACCTACTGCTCCACCTTCAAAGTACTACACGAAATCACAAAAAGCAAAGGATGAAATGCGACTTGCTCATCAGACTGCGACAGAGAAACGCTCAGAGATAGACGAAGATGTGAGTAGATCTGTTTTTATTGCGCTTTAGTTCATTTTGCAAGAGAAGTAACTTTTTAGGAGGAAAATCTTGGTTATGCGGAAACATATGCTGATTATGTACCAGCAAAACTTCGCTCAGGTGTTTCACATCCGGATAGCGTGGTGGAGACTGCATCGTTGAGTAGTGTAGCTCCACCGGATGTTAAATATCAGATTAGTATTCCTGAATATGTGAGTTTCTCTTCTTCTCACTCTAAATATTGTATCGCATTTTTTCCTATGTTTTTTTCTGCCCTATATCATGCTTTCTTGTATAGCTTATCGATAATGGATCCATATCTGCCTTACAACTCGAAGCAGTCATATATGCTTGTCAAATGCATCAGCAGCGGCTTCCTAGTGGGGAACGAACGGGTTATTTGATAGGTCAGACGTTTTCATACCAGCTTTACGCTTTTTTCATTTTATGAATTGCAGGTGACGGTGCTGGAGTGGGAAAGGGACGTACTGTAGCAGCGATAATATTCGAAAATTATCTCCTCGGACGAAAGCGATCTATTTGGTTGTCTGTTTCATCTGATCTGAAATTCGATGCCGAGAGAGATCTACGAGATATTGGAGCTGGAAACATTATGGTATCTTTGCTCACTTTCATACGAAGTTTGAACAGATTTGTTGAGCAGGGTTGTTGTTCCAGGTATATGCTCTCAACAAGCTGAAATACGCGAAGATTTCCGGGAAAGAGAATGGAAATATCAAGAAGGGAGTCATTTTTGCTACATATTCGTCATTAATAGGCGAATGCCGAGGAGCTAGAGCTAAATATCGAAGTCGATTGAAACAGTTGATCCAGTGGTTTGGAGTGGTTGGTTGCTAACTTATGATAAACATGCTGTAAGGGGTCATTTTTTTTAATCAAGGATTATGACGGCGTGATAATCTTGGATGAATGCCATCGAGCCAAGAATCTGGTGCCAACCACTGGTGCGAAACCGACAAAGACAGGTCGTATGGTTCTAGAACTCCAAAAAGCATTGCCTAATGCTCGTGTTGTTTATGCGTCCGCCACTGGAGCTACTGGTATATTTTTTCAAGTTTGCCGATATTTGAAAGTGTCGTATTTGATTATGGTTGTTTTAGAGCCGAGGAATATGGCATACATGACCAGACTTGGGTTATGGGGACAAGGTCAGGCTTTTCCGGAATTTACCAACTTCATCAACGCTGTGGAAAGGAGAGGAGTAGGTGCGATGGAAATTGTCGCTATGGATATGAAGGTGAGTAATGTATAAATATTGCCAGTGTAATTTTTCTTTGAAATACATTTTTTGCCTTCCTTGCCACATCTTGTAAATACAAAATTGTTTGATTCCAGCAACGTGGTCTTTATCTCGCTCGCCAGCTTTCATTCCGCGGTGTATCATTTACGGTACAGGAAGTTCCTCTTTCGGATGAGTTTGTGAAAATCTATGATGACTCTGTGAAATTGTGGTTGGAGTGTCGTCGACAATTCCAGGTTTTGCATCTTTTTTTGAAAGTGGGTGTTGCTATCCGTCACGTTACAGAATGTCTTGAGTGCTATGACGGGTGAGGAACGATCGTCTTGTAAACAACTGTGGGGGCAGTTTTGGGCTTGTCATCAGCGATTTTTCAAATATCTCTGCATTGCTGCTAAGGTAACAGTATTTTCATGACCCTTGCAGTTATGCTGGTTTACATTGGCTTTCTTTTGCTGTTTGAGACTTTATGACTAACTGGGCTGCAGAATAAAGCCGAAAAGAGCATAATGAAGAGCATAAAGGAGCTTTTTGATTGACTGGGCTATGTTTCTAGGTTGATGCTTGTGTGCAGATGGCTCGCGATGCTATCAAGGCTAATAAATGTGTTGTGATCGGCCTACAGTCTACCGGTGAAGCTCGAACTTTGGAAGCTCTCGAAGATATGGGCGGCGAGTTGACTGAATTTGTGTCCACTGCAAAGTAAATTTACTGATATCAAGTATTTTATCCGGTTGTCGAACTCTTTAAATGCAGAGCTGTTCTCCAAGGCTTGATTGAGCGACATTTTCCTGTCGACGTGGGCAGCATCGATATATACCGGGACTTTGATTTCGGGTTGGACGACTTTGAGCGAAAGAGGCGTAAAAGTAATTTCATTATTAAAGTGATTAATCAATGATCAAATTGACATTTCTAGTGCGAAACGGTGGCAGTGACTTTTTGGATCAGCTAGGTTTCGGTTCATCTTCGCTTTCACTTGGATCATCAAGTGAACCTCGTGTACGTTTCACTTTTTTCACTTTGATGACACCAGATAGAATTATATTGTTGAAGAATAAATTTTAAACATCATCGTTCGCAATTTTTAGGCGAAAAGGGCACGGCCTGATGAAGATCAGAACTCGACTACGTCATCTTCAAGCGACGAGGATTATGGTGATCTAGACCAAGATTCCGGTTTGGAAGATGACGAAGATGTTTCGGAGGGGGAATCCAATCTAGGTAGTTGAGCTGCCTGTTTTTCTTCGTTTATATCTCCTTTCTTCACTTACTCTTCAATAATTTTAGAAGACGGCGACGACTGGTTGAAAGCCTTACTTGCTGAAGCAGCGTCTTCAAGTTCAGATGAAGACGATCCAACGGATAAGAATCAAGCTGAGAATAATGGCAGTGGAAATGAGGTAGATATCACTGAATTATTTGTGTTGATTATTGTTTGCATATGTGCGTCATTGTAGACTAATGGTACTGATCAGAAAGGAAGTGCTGGTGAAGAGGAGTTCAATCCTTTTGACTGCGATTTTACAGGTGAGTATTCCTTGTAGTCATCATCTTGCTTTTTATAGCTTCGGTTACGGTCGTTCGTCATCCCTTTCTGCTTTTAAGCTTTTTGCGTCATTTCTGAACATTTCTTGTTCTGCTTCACTTTGCTATTATAGATGATCCATGGGCATCAAAGCAACAAGTAGTCGAAGACTCACCGAGAAAGCAAAAGCAGGTATGCGCCGTCATTCTCTGTATGGGTTTATCCAGAAGTACATTTAGACTAAATCTAACGAAGAACTCGAAGAACTTCGACAACGACGTCGAGCTAGACGTAAACGTCGAAAGAAGCGCATGAGGCGGTTAGCACGCGAAGCAGAAATGAAAAAACGGCGAGATTTTGAAAGTGATGCTATGGTGAGCTCCTACATCAGAAGGTGCATTATCGATTTATCCTAACATTCTTAGAAAAACACCGCAACTCAGTTCATATCGTCATCTCGCATCATTGATCCCTTGTCTAATGAAAGTATTAACCCTAAGATGATAAAGGTATTGATTTTTAGTTTTGTCAGAATTACCAGTACTTTTGTCTACTACGAATGTTTCTAGGCTGAATTGTTGTCAGCAGTAGAGCGTCTTGGACCTTCACTACCACCTAACACTCTTGATCTACTTATAGATCAACTGGGAGGGCCTGAATATGTTGCAGAGGTTAGTCACGGCCCTCTGAACCGTGATTGTGACCTTGTGATAGTTTCACAATGTTATTGTGCTAGATGACCGGAAGAAAAGGTCGCATAGTCACAAGAGAGGATGGGGAAGTTGAATATGAACTAAGACACGCGGGTGCCGATGTTCCATTAGAACTCATGAATATGGACGAAAAGGACAAGTTCATGAAAGGCGAAAAGAAGATTGCTATAATATCCGAAGCAGCATCAAGTGGAATTTCTCTACAGGTTCGTCATACACTAATTATGAATCATGAATCATAAAATGCAGTGATTTCATTTTAGTCTGATCGCCGAGCGCAAAACACTCGCCGTCGCGTCCATATTACGCTAGAACTGCCATGGTCTGCGGATAAGGCTATACAACAATTTGGTGATTTCTCATTCATTCTATCTAGCTAGCTTTTTTCTAATGAACAATGGTTTTTTAACACGTTTCGGACCGGTGCTGCACATGGTGCAGCACGCTGCTTTAAAGGATCTTTCTGGCGTTCACAGGAGGTTTCCTTTTAGTCCAAAATTGTTAAGTCAAAGGTCTAAGCTCCTACCTTGCAAATGACTCTGTAGAGCTGTGCCGCGCATATTTGTGAGATATGAGGACAAATCGAACAACAGTTGCAAAGAAGTACGGCAACGCGGATGATGCGTGCGACGTCACAACTTTGCTTCGATTTCAAAGAGAAAAACCCTAGTTGAACACTTTTTGAAACTAAGTTCACACTCCTGTCTTTCAAAAAAGCACGGAAGTCCCTCTCAAGCGACAAATTTCAAACACTTCGAATTCACTCAGAACTTTGAGTATGGGGCTTATCTGACATGCTGATTACAGATGTGGCCCACAAGCTGCGAAATAAAGTCCCTTTGTAGGCTATCGGCTGAAAGTACGCTCTTTTTCGCCGCGCGCGATTTCGCGGTCCGAAACGGGTCAAATTTGTGCTCTAATTCATCTAATGCACATATGTCAACTAGCCTGTAACAGGTCGTACACATCGCTCCAATCAAGTTAGCGCTCCGGAATACGTTTTCCTCATTTCCGAACTTGCTGGAGAAAAACGGTATGTTGTCAATTTTCTCAATAATACCTCTGCTTACATTCTTCTCTCAGATTTGCGTCGATTGTTGCGAAGCGACTTGAATCGCTTGGTGCATTAACGCATGGTGACCGAAGAGCTACTGAAACTAGAGATCTGTCGCAGTTCAATCTGGACAATCGTTATGGTCGTGATGCTTTGGAAGTGTTGCTAAAATCTGTCAACGGCGCGCTTTCTCCGCCACTTATTCCTCCACCAGCGGATTACAAGCCTGGTGACTTCTTTCAAGGTTTGTTCACCACGATTTCTGCTCATGGGTCACTTTTGTTTGTCTGTTTATAAGTTTTTTCTGCTTTAGACATGCGATTATACATGGAAGGTGTCGGCTTGTTGGCGAAACAGCCAAATAATACGTACACGATAGAACGTGAGGCGGCGACTATATCTAAGTTCCTTAATCGGTACGTATCTGATTTCTCATCTTTTCGTCGGTTTCAAAAGTGCTGGTTTAGCATACTTGGTATTCCTGTACACGCTCAGAACGCTTTGTTCCAATATTTTACGTCGATCGTCGCCGAATTGATAGCGCAAGCGAAATTAGATGGCACTTATGATATGGGCATCATGGGTGAGTAATTCGCAGCACTAGTTCTAAGAGCATGCATTTTCTTTGGATGTTCATGCCCTCATTTTCTAGATCTGGGGACCGGTGGAGATCAAGTCCGTAAACTGGAAACCCGCGTGTTTGTTGGAAGAGCAGAAAAGGGCGGTTTTCGTGTTGAAATGCAGAAGATTGGCGTTGAGAGGGGACTGTCATGGGATGAAGCCTATGCTTTGTACAAAGAGCACAACTCAGACGAGGTACGGACCTCATATTGGAGAGTCATTTTGATTTTCAACTTGACCTAGCCTGGCTTTGTGCTTTGCAACTCCAAGTTTGTCTTCGTTTTTATAGATTATGCAAAGTTACTTGCTACTCTCATGCATATCTTCCAATATCTCAGTCCATTTTCATTCAGGATGGCTTCTATGTCTCAAATAATGCAAATGGTGGTCGTCAAGTGGCTGTACTGGTTTATGGCATTGGAAAGCGTCGTTTTGACAATGGAGCACGGTAATCAGGCTGATAATCTGTACTTTTTGAAGATGGGCACGACAAATAAATGCTTGTTCAGATTATATGCCGTCACTCGACCATCTATCGGAAGATCACCAAAATTGATCACCATGGCGGAGATTAGTAAACGTTTCATCAAAGTTCTGCCCGATGATGCTAAAAAGTTGTGGGAGGATCAGTACGCAGGTAATAATGCAGTCATTTTGTGTTCCCACTTAAACTTTTTTTTGCTTTTTTGCTTCCCATGTTATCTCCAGAGTTTTGGGAGTGCTATTTTTCATTGTTAATATGTATTTTTTTCCATTCAGGTGCTATCGATAACTGTCATCACACTTATGTCCACGGCAAATGCAAAAGCGAAGCAATGGGAGTATACTGTGAAGTTGGTCGGCGTACGCGTACGTACTTCGTTCTCTCCGGCTCAGTTCTGTCGGTGTGGCCTGTTGTCGAAGAAGTATTGTCGGATCGTGATCGACGTGCCTCCCGCATGCAAGTAATACGAGTACGAACAGACCAGGATCAAAAGATAGTTGGTATGTTTTTCCTTATTGTCTTTTGGTGTGTTTGTTGGAAATGTTTTCCGATTTATGTCTTTACAGTTTTCATCTTTGTTTTATTACTGATTTCACAGTATTATACATGTCAAATCATTTAGGAGTGTTGGTTCTGCCACATTTTGTTCGAACGCTTGTTGCTCGTCTTGAAGAGCATTGCTCCCGATGCTTTGTTGAGGCGAAGAAAGAAGATAATGGCCAGAAACCATCACAGGCGTGAGGTATCGGGTGCTTGACTAATAAAAAATGTGGTGCTTATAATTACTGTTTACATTGTATGAAAATTGTATGTTTTATCTGATGAGGCTTTATTTTTTTCCATCTTGCGCCTTTTAACTGAAGAATATATTGGGACGTTTTAGCTCTTGATTTTCTTATGCTTAGGAACCTATTTTTCGTTTTCCGAGCTTCAATCCCTTAGGCGGTTCTTGATATGTGCTCATTGTGTTGTTATTATTGTTATGATGTCCATGGTTGTTAGCGCTGTTTCTGTTTTGACGAGAAAGAAAAGTTGGGTATCTGTGAATCAACACACTTATTAAAAATATGCATATCGTGTTGACTCTCATTCATCCTTCACCAATAATTGTCATTGGCATTCTCTTTTCTGATGACAAACGTTTTAGCTAGGAATGTACACTCTTGTTGTTAGCCGTCTATTTTTGCCTTCTTCTTCTGTACTGGACTCTATTAGTCACGGACGTCGGTTAATCTTGTGCATTGGGTCGCAGTCGTTGTACGTTTCAAAATGTGTGAGAAATATAGACTTTATCTGTTATGTTTTGTTTGACTTTTGAGAATGGATTTTGAAGCTCTTCCTTTTCTTGAGTCCTCAAGATCAGGCTGCGCAAGCTTCGGGGAATCTTTGTTTTCCCAATGTTGAGAGCTCACCTTTCTTTCTTCATCCACTTAAACTTTTTTTCCAACGTGAGTTCGTGGAGGAGACATCTACAAACAAATCTTACGAGTCACCGCTACGCAGCACAGGTCGGATGTAAAGATGATGATTAGAAGGACGCATTGTGGCAGGAGCTCGATGACCACACCATTCAATTTCACCGGAAGAGACGCTTCTGCTGGGAGCGCATCTTGAAGGCTATGTCCGAGCAAAAACTCGATTTTGAGACTTTGTGCTTACCCAAGCTTTCGCTATATTGAATCCGAAAATTCACACTGGAGAGCGCGAAAAGGCGAAGAAGGGCTCTAACACAGGGCGGAAAACACAGGTGGGCGGGGTCCTCTTCACTGTGGATTCACGCTCCCAGCTTCCGAAGCGTTCTTCCCGGTTCCGATTTCAAGTCACACGTTTGCACCTGGCCGCTGGCGATGTCAGGGCGGCTAGTGTAATTGAGAAGATCGCTCCGGAAGCTGGGAGCGCTATCATCGTGGGGAGGACCCCTCCCATTCGCTGATTTCCGACCTGCTTTAGAGCCGTTTTCACGCTCTCTAGTGTAGATTTTCGGATTCAGCACAGCGAGTAGGCCCGGGTAAGCACAAAATCTCAAAATCGAGTTTTTGCTCGGACACTGCCTTTAACGGATATGAGAAAGAGCGGGAGGTGTTAGAGTGTCTTCATACGTGTTAGAGTGCCTTCACCACAATTAATTTGATATTCACGTTAGCATATCAAACAATCCTTCTAGACGAAGTTTTAGCAGAAACGGTTTTCGGGTCAACTGGTGGGATAGCTACAAAACGGCTGGCGACGTGTAACAGGGTCTATAGGCTGTTAGTGGCTGCTGGCGGCTTTTGCCGGCGCGGTATGGAGGCACCTTCCACGGCTACGGATATGGAACTAATGAAGGAGGTGAGCGCATTCTGGAATTCGCTTCAGCTCATGATCTGGTCTTGGCGAACATATTACGTTATGCGAGTGGGACCGATGAGCGCAGATAGACCTCTGGGTTATTCGAAAATTTGACCACGAGAACGAAAAGGAGTGCAAAGTCATTTTCGGTGAGAGCTGAACACAGCACAGATGGCTACTTCTGGACATCAGAATCTCGGATAGGCACATCAGGAGAGGTACAAAGACATGCACAAATGATGGAAGTCGACGTCGCAGCAAAGCAAGCACAAACGACGACGACGTTGAAAGAACCAGAGGTTATCACCGAGAGATGAAGGCTAAAGTCTTAAGCTGCGTCCACTCCTTGACAGACTAGCGCGACAGGATGGCGTTAGTTGTGACGCTGTCGAAAGCTTTCTCGTAGTCGACGAAGGTTAGGATGAGAGGCGGTCAGTTCCGAACATACTACTTCTATAACCCTCAACCCGGTTGGGTGTGGTCCATGCATCTGAATACTCTGCGAATTTAAGTTTTTGGGCTGGGCTTCATCCAGTGTCCTAGATATGCAAGCGAGGATGGAGTTCGTGAAAAGTTTGTATAGCACACTTAGCAGGCGTATTGGAAGGTAGTGCCGTAGATCCTCCTGTACGCCCTTCTTGAACAGTGGGACGGTCTTCACTGGTAGGAATTTAGAAGCGACGCGAGAATCCATGTAGACGTTGTCCTCCAGCAAACAGAGATCACTCTCCCACCGCGAACATGGGAAAGGCGGAGCCTTAATCGGTTAGAGAGCATGTTTCGAAGAGGTGCAGAGTCCCGCACGGGAGTTGAGAAACTGGTGCAGTCGGCACTGCAATCGATAAGCCCTGTACATCCTCAGTGGGAACAAGGAGCATCAGAACTGTTGTTGATGAGTGGAAGAGGTTGGCGTACAAGACCTTTGCGATAGATGCATCTTGTATCGCGAAGAAGCTGAGTCCCTCATCGATGTGCAACCCGCAGTACGTGATATTCACGAAGATCTTCCTCCTCCTCCCCCCCCCCCCCCTCACACATATCTAGCCACTGCAGAAGGATGCATTTATTGAGACATCGAGCAAGTTCCACCTTCGGTTTGTGAGAATGTGGTCAATCTCCGCGTGATTCGTTCCTTTGGGCGATTCCCAAGTCCACTGGCTTGTTCTTTCTTCATGAAGATGGGATTTCAATGGAAAGATCGTGCGGCGGAGAGAAGCCCAACGAGACGGTTGCCGTTTTCACTCTGGAGCCTACAAACAAACTTCCCGATTATGTTCCTTTTTGAGTGACATCCTGATTTCGCCTTGAAGTCGCTTTCGGCAGACTTGTAGAAGGCCTTATTGTTGTAGGCGACCTCCTCCACGTCTTCGTAGAAATCCTGTAGTTCTGATTCGTTAGCTGATGTTGGGGAGTTGATGATGCTAACCACGAATGTGTTGATTGAAGCTGTTGATGTTGGGAAGTTGATGATGCTAACCACGAATGTGTTGATTGAAGCTGTTGATGTCGGGGAGTTGATGATGCTCACCAAGAAGGACGTGCGACAAATAAGCGATGGGATCCTGGACAACTAAAACGAGGAAATGGTCAGAACTTAACGCAGCCATTCCAAACATGCTATATATTAGGTTGATGCAAAAATAATGAGCGTTTTTCCATTTCTTACTTTAACTTGCTATAACTTCCTATAAAATCTATATTTTGAAATGAGATAAAGACCATCAGATGCAGCGAACCTTTCGCAGTACATCGCACTTGAGCTTCACTCATATCTCATATGGGCATAAAAATATGGATTGAAAAAACAAAAAAAGTTTTTTTTTTCTGTAGTCTTGTTTTTGACAAGACTTAACTCCTTTCAAACTTTGTTATTATAATTCATAAGCAGCCTATCTTGTCACAGCAAGCCAGTAGTATAAATATACATGAGAAGGGCTTGAAGAAAAAAGATTAGCAGAATATCAACTTTTTCAGAATTTTTTCAGTAGGCATCAAAATCCCGAAGTATAGAATTTTCTAATTTCTGCGCACTGAACAGCTGGATGTTTTTGCAAAAGTTACTGATAGGATTCCTACCTTCACGCTTACGGAGATGAGCAAAGTTTGAGCGACTGCATTCTACAAAAGAAAGCTATGGGCTCTAAAATGACCACAACCATTACCCAGGTTGTGCCGCCGATATCTCACTTTAGATAACTTCAAAAATATGGCTAAGTATGCATAATGTAGAAATTTTCCATTACAAATGTCGGCTGAATTTTCGAAAAAGCACCTTCATTTGCGCTCAAATTCTGGTCAAAAAAATGAATGCAACGAAAATCTGGTTTTGAGTGCGATTATTTGAAGCTCTACAGATTCCTAACAGAGTAGGATAGAAGTCCTTTTCGAACAACATTAGATAGAGCATGAAAAGAGCTTTCTAATAATGTGCTGAAATCATTACAAAGAAAGAAGTTTGATGGAGAAAAGTTATCCTGAAGAAAGTTCTGTGAAAACACTCATTATTTTTGCATCAACCTAATATCATCGGACTCGTCTCAAAACGCTGATTTCAAATACATGTTCTTTGTCTGCTAGGCTACTATTTGGACGGCGTTATGAGCGTTCAAATATGAGAAAAATTTCGAGTTTTGACGGATATATTTCCTTGACCAGCCTGATGGCAGGGATTTACAGTGGCTGTGGTTATTTTGGTTACAAGGAGGAAGCATATGCACCAGAAACCTAGGTAAATGTTTGGAAAGCTATTTCGTGGAACATGTGCCCGGAACACTTCACAAATAGCATGAACACTCATAACTCCTTCCAGATAGTCGCTTGGCAGATAATAAGCGAACAATTGTGATCAGCTTTCCAAGGCGAGTCAGATCAGATGATAACAGCACGTTTGGTATGACTGGGTTGAGTTCTGACCATTCCCTGCAGTTCCATGTTTTTTCTTCTCTGAATCTTGGCATTCGCTAATGTCTGTAATTGTTGTGGTAACACAAGATATCCTCTGCGCTTCAAAGCCACGAACAGTACCCACACTTACGATAGCAACAAAGTACCCGTATGCCATTTTCGATAAATTTGGTGCAGCAATAAAACAATATATAACGGGAGCCGACTGCAAATGAAGTTCCCGATGAGAACATCAAGAAGCAGCTGGTAAGGAACAGGCTCTACGACGCAGAATATCTATCAGAACATTGTATCGTCTGCCCATGCGGAAAACGTGATTGCGCAAAGGTAGAAGTACTATGTGAATTGGAATGCTTGAATGGTAAGGCGACATACAGTGACCGCCAAAAAGTTGCGGGCAAGCCGCTTTCCTTTCTTCGTCGCTCGTTTTCAGATGGAAAACAAAAATGAAAAAATGATCAGATTGCATGAGATGATAGAGCTTTTTAACACATTGACGACAAGGTCGATTTTTCGATTACTGCCATTTCGGACAGGAGCTTTTTTTGCCCTGCCAAACTTACGACCCACCCGTGGGTCGTATTGTCCAAAATGGTAGTCTTTTTGTAAGAAATTCAAAAGATGTCTCTGAGAATATCCCCACAAGGGTTATCGAAGGCGCTGATTATCAAAATGTAATTTGTTTCAGTTTCTGGCAGTATACGGTAAGAATACGGTAGTCACTCTGTACGAACCCAACACCACGGATTTTCGTGAAAAATTGTGTTTTGGGGTCATTTCATATGCTGATCACGATTATAGTGTCCACTTTGTTCACTACTTTCCCACAGTGGGACCACGGTAGCAGTACGGTAGAATTTTTTTGAAGATCACGAAACTATGTAAGAGGGCGGTATTAGGACTTGAAACTATCATTTTCGTAATCACCATGCTAAAAAACCTACATATGCAAGGTTTGAGCTTCCTGGGATGAGCAATGCGAAAAATCAATAAGATCAATAAAATCGATAATTTTGATGGGCTGACATCAGTCTCATGCTCTCCCTGTATTTCTTGTGCATGTAAAC